TTTGAGGTGGTGCTGGCCCCTCTCAAGGCTGCTTTCACACTGCCATGCTTGTAACATGGCTTTGCATGGACTCCCTCTAAGAGCATGTTGGATGAGGTGAGTTTGCAGAAGAGCAGGAGGGTGGGGCATCCTGTTAGTGAGCTAGGTGGATAGTGTTGGTTCTATGCTGGTTCCTGCACATATCCCTGTATGTAGGCTGGGGGGTAGGCTCTTTTGTTTTTAGAGGTGTCTCCTAAAGATACCTACCCCTCCAGCACATGCTCTGAGATTAGTAAGCAAATCTGTGTACCCCAGGAATCTTTCTTTTTCTTTTTTTAAATTAAAACAAAATTTATTTATCTTCAGAAAGAGCATGCAGGAGAAGGGCAGTGAGAGAGAGGGAAAGAGAATCCCAAGCAGGCTCTGTACTGGCAGTGCAGAGCCTGACTTGGGGCTCAATCTTACAAAACCATGAGATCATGACCTGAGCCAAAATTGAGAGTCAGACACTTAACTGACTGAGCCATCTAGGCATCCCAACTCCAGGCATTTTTCAAACTGCTGCTTTTATGCTGTGTCTAAGCAGGGCTATTTGTTGTGCTGTCTCTTTAAGGGTTGGAACTCAATTTCCTATTGTTTTTCTGTTCTCCCAGAGCTGAGCCTGCTGAGTCTTAAATTTCCAGGTGTCAAGCCCCTCTGATTGTAAGCACTCCTGAAGTTAGGCTTCCTAATTTTCAAAGCCAGATATTATGGGGATTTTTCTTCCCACTGCAAGTACCTTGTGCCCAGGGCACGTGGTATGGGGTCTGCTCCTTTCCCCTCTCAGCACTCATGGTGTCCCTCCCTCCTAAGGACAGTCCCCTGGGTCAGTTTGGCTCCCAACTGTGTCTCTACTTTCCCTACTCTCTTTGGTGTGGCCTGTTCTCTACAATTAGCTGTGGAGAGTCTGTTCTGCCAGTCGTTGGGTCTTTTCCTGGGTTATTGACACTGATGTGGGTGTTATTTAGGTGTATCCCTGGGATAAAGTGAGCCTAGGATCTTCCTACTTCACCATCTTCCCGGGAAGCCCTTTGTTATTATTATTATTTTCATAGCCGCTTTAAGTAGATTAGGTGTAGGAGCATAATGGCAGCAGGATTGATTTAAGATTGAAGATTTGGCAAGTGGATTAGAAAAAGAACAAGGTAGCTATAATGTTGACAATACTGGCTGGAAGGTTGAGATTGAACAAAGTATTTCTAAAACCTGAGATGGAAAATAGTAGGAGATGAGAGAGATGAGATGAGATAGCAAGAGAGGGACTCTGTCATGAAGGAAAGTTACTTAATTCACATTATACATGGAGAAAGTTTTGATGACATCTTGAGAGTAGGTGTGCTCTGATTAGATTTTAAAAAGTTGCTCTAATGCTAGGTCAAATGGGAGTGAAACTAGAGGTAGAAACACCAGAAATATTATTTAAATTGTTAAGGTTTGAAAGGCTGAGAATCTATCTGCCCAGTGATATTATGAGTGTTCATTAGTGAGATGACCCATAAATAGGTGTGTTTAGGAGGCCAAGGTGTTTTAATGTAATTACTGCATATAAGCTCAAAATGGAATCTAAAGTTTTTACTTTGCATAGCTGTACAGATTTAGGAGCAAGAGCTCTACTATATGGATCAATTTCTTGTGCCATCCTAATCTTGGGAACTATTCAGACAGCAGATCAATCACTCTTGCTTTTATTCAGATGCTTTGGAATCTAAGACTCATTAGAAAAAATTGAATATATATGGAAGCACTTAATTTAGGTTGACTAAAATTATAAGAGCTCCACAAGAGAGATTGGTTGTTCGAATAACTGGTGGCTTCTGTTATACAGGATCCAAGAGTGGACTTAGCATTCAGATCATCCACTTGATGAGAGCAGAACACTACAAGAATCTTCTCTTACTGAGATTATTGTGAATGTATTCCAGAATTCAGGATAGTCTTTCTAGAAGAAGAAGTTAGGAATAACTTTGGAAGAAGTATATGGTAAGGGAACTCAAGGAATCAGAAGAAGGCATAGTTGAATTGGAGAACATAGTTGAGGGTAGCTTTGGAGAGGTGTTGAAAGCAAAGAGATCAACAAAGATCACGTTAGAAATAAATGATGAGGAAGACAGAGAATAGCCTTGAGGAGAAGGAATTAGAGCATCATTAACAAACCTAGAAAACAAAACAAGATGTTATAATGGAAGAGGATGAAGGGATAGAAATTTGTAGACATCATTAGAGAAGTTAATTATCACTGGTAAAGGATCTATAGGGTAGTGGTAAATGAAGGACCTATTCTGAGCTGACTGAGCATTTGACAGGTATACATTCTTTCCTTCTGCACAAAGTTATTCATGTCTTTAACTACTTTTTTTTAACCCATTGAGAGGAATTTAGGAAAATGAATCTTTTTCATTAAAAAAATAATTCTTCACTCCTGGGAATTTTACAAAAGTATGGTGCTGTATTTTTTAATTAATGTAAATTAGGATAACATCTGCTGTATTTGCAAATTTGAAACAAATATATTGCAAATACTTGTTAATATATTGAATAGGAGAATACAATAAAAATGTATGTAGGTTAATACAAACACAACAAACATTCTTAGACTTTTCAGAGTCGTTTCCTTAGAAGTTCTTCAATAATCAACTATTCAACAGTGCAACAAAATGGAATTATTTATATTAGGTAAAATATGACTCACTGCAGTAGAATGTTTGGTAATTAGAAGCCATAGTCTTGAGAAAGTTGAGGGAACAGTTTTTTCTTCTGAATGAGACCTTCAAAATTATAGCCTTATGATTTTAACATCATAATTTCATGGATAATCTGGATGAATTAATGAATTTGCTGTATAAATTGAAGTTATCTGGAAATATTACTGAAAAGGGAACGGAATTTTGTGGCTGTTGTTATTAATTTACAAAATTCTTTACCAAAAACTATAGCATAACATGCAAGGACACCCTACACAGTCTTGAAATTTCTTCATTCTTTTTGTGATAAGAGCGCAATCATTGGAAATAATCACAGAAGAACTTTCACTTATGTCTAATCACATGAATCAGTTATATGAACACTGGCTAAGCAGAATTGTTTCTAAGTAAAGCTGATGTGAGGGAATTGTTAAGCTTCTTTCTCAATTTGATTGAATTCTGCTTGATTATCAAATTATCCCTGATTTTCAGATATTCTGGGTAATGCCAATGTATTCAAATATTAATTGTGTAACAAGAATTCTGTGTTGCAAATACACATATGAATTTACACATAAAAAGAAAGATCTATTTTAAGTATGTTTACTTGAAACTTAGAAGTTTAGGGTGAGTTGTTTGCATTTATCAGTTTTAAATATTTTTAGGATTCAAAAGTATATGATATGAAAATCTTTACAGTAGGTCTGATGGACACTTAACATATTACAAAAAAAATCAAGAAATATCTTTTATTGAATTTGTAAAGCAGGCTTTTGCTAAGTTTAATTGTTTGGTCATATATTTTCTTTCCATGTAAGGCAATATATATTATATACAATAAGATATTATATAGTATAATATCATTTAATAAATATTAGCATTTTGAATAACTGATATTTCCTAAATTCTCTTATAAGTTGATAGAATCAAAGAAATAATTTTGCAGGGAGACCTGTGTTTAAAGATTTGGCTTTCAAATCATTTATAATTTTAGCATTTGTCTTTAGTACTGTCTTAAAGTACTGGATGATCTTTAAAATAGCACAAGAATACATACACCCAGTTATTTCACAGGCCCTTACTAGACTCTCTTGAAAATGATCGTTTCTTTCTTCCTTCCTCCCTCCCTCCCTCTCTTTTCTTTCTTTTCTTTCTTTCTTTCTTTCTTTCTTTCTTTCTTTCTTCTTTCTCATTTTGTTTTGTTTTGTTTTGTTTTTAATATGTCAGGGGATTGGTGGGTTGCATTGTTTAAGGCAGATTACATTTGTAAAGTACTCTGGCTTCTTTTGATATGAAAGCATACCTATCTTTTTCCAGTAGAAGCCATATCATTTTTTTTTTCTTCTTCTTTTTTTTTTTTTTTTAATTTTTTTTTTTTTTCAACGTTTATTTATTTTTGGGACAGAGAGAGACAGAGCATGATCGGGGGAGGGGCAGAGAGAGAGGGAGACACAGAATCGGAAACAGGCTCCAGGCTCTGAGCCATCAGCCCAGAGCCTGACGCAGGGCTCGAACTCACGGACCGCGAGATCGTGACCTGGCTGAAGTCGGACGCTTAACCGACTGCGCCACCCAGGCGCCCCGCCATATCATTTTTTAAATGTTCATTCCGGCAAATAATTAGGGAACATGTTTTTTGCTCTCTTATTTCAAGCCTTGCTTTCACTATCTCAATTTATCATTGTTGATGTTGATCATGTTGATGTTGGGTGCTGCATCTTTTGAGTTCTGGTCATTTTTTTAACTTGTACAACATGTAGAAGTACCTCAAGTTTTTAGAATTTTAAACATTTTAAGCATGTTAAACTTTTTAGGGATTGTAATCATTATTATATTATTGTAGTCATTGTATTATTATATTATTGTATTATATACTATTATATTTTTACAATGGAAGAAAATCTATTTCAGTTTTCAAAGTGAAGTTTGAAACTTACTTTGGTGATTTAAATCTTTTCAAGTCACACAATTCCGAGTCAAGATAACTATTTTAGATTTTGTCAGTGAATTATTTTCCAAATGGAAACATCCATATACAATTTTATATTAATGTCCTTACAGGGAATAAATGAGGCATAATATGTAACACTTCACAGTTTATTTATATTTTATTTCAAATTTAAAGCAATGAGCAATGCCTCATTTGCAAAACAGAATTTCTTCCATTTTTATGGAGGTTTAAGGGGCCTGTTTTGTGTAAACTAATAGGACTGTTTGCATTAAACACACAAGTGACAAGAATATTTTGATAGTTTCACAAGTAATCTCCTATTACAATCTGTCTATTTCTCTTTCCTCTAGTTAACTTCTCCCACTACCTCTGAGCAGCTTGCCTGTAAACCACCTGCTTTCTCCTTTGTTTCTCCAACTAATCAGAAAACGCCACCTGACCCAGTTAACCTCGACGGAGCCTCTGTGCTAGAGGAATTCCACACTAGGAGGCTGGATGTCAGTGGGGCCTTGGTGGAAGAAACAGCTACGTATTTTCAAACTTCTGCTCACTCTTCACCCTTTTTTGCATCGAAGGGCACCTCCTCGACGTTACAGTTTCCCCATTCCACTCAGTTATCAGGTTCTAATTTATCCAGTCCGAGTGCAGCAGATCAGAAACCTGGACTGGCATCTGAAGTTCTGAAGAAGACAACAACTTTAAGTTCGCACGTCCTTAGCCCCAGAGAAAGCCCAGGAACCACTTCTCCTTCACCATCCTCCAGTGCTTCTCTGAAGTCAAATTCGGCCTCATACATACCAGTCCGTATTGTCACACATTCACTCTCTCCAAGTCCAAAACCATTTACCTCCTCTTTCCATGGCTCTTCTTCCACTATCTGTAGCCAAGTGTCATCTAGTGGAAATCTCTCAAAGTCAGGGGTGAAATCCCCAGTGCCCTCCCGGCTTTCTCTTCTCACTGCCATCCTCAAGTCAAATCCTTCTCACCAAAGACCCTTTTCCCCTGCATCCTGTCCCACTTTCTCTCTTAACTCTCTGGCTTCTTCCACACTCACTCTGGATCAAAAAGCAAAACAAACCCCACCCACACCTAAGAAATCTCTCTCTAGTTGCTCCCTGAGAGCAGGGTCTCCAGAGCAGGGGGAACACCAGGTTTCCGAACTTAGGCAGCAATCCTTCCACTTACCTTTTCTGGCCAAATCTACTCCCCTTTCTCAGGCATGCTCCCTTTCTCCCACAAAACATGACAGTAGCAGCCTCATTTCTTTGAATGTAGAGAAAATGTCACCCACTTCTTTGAAGAGCAACCCAACAGTCTCCCTGCTACAGACTGATACATCCAGTTCTGCAAGACTTCCTCCTGTTCCACCAAGTGTTCCTCCTGTTTCTTTGAAGGGCAAACAGGATGTTGACCTCAGGGACCCAGAAAAGCCCAGGAATATTCACATACATCCTACATCAGTCTCCTCTGCATTATCCTCTCTATCTCCTCCCACTAACCAAAGAGCCATGCTCTCCTCTCCAGAGAAATGTTTCCATCCTTCCCCAGCTCTTTCAAACCTGATAAACAGATCCAAGAGAGCAGCCCCACAGCTAGGTGGCCAGGGGCAGAACCTTTCAACTCCTCTTTCAACCCCTGTCTCCAGTGCTAGCTCTGCCTCTCTTCCCAAACTGGGGTCCTCCCCTCTCCCTCGTGCTAATCTGCCGACCCAGGCGCTCCAGCTCAGTCCAACACTGTACCCAAATTGTGGCAGTGGTACCTTGCCTTCAAGACTTGGAAAATCTGAAAGCTCAGTATCCAACCACAGGTCATCTGTTTCAACCCGATCACCTCCCATCTCTCTAACAAGAACCAAGGAGCTGATTTCACCTTATGCATTGTCCATGTCAACAGGCCCTGAAAATAAGAAACCCAAGGTATTCTTTTGCATGTTGCATGGTGCATGCTTATTTTGAAATATGGGAGAATCTTTTTTTCCAGAGGAAAAATAATTATGATATTCATTCTGCTCTTACAAGAGTTATAGAAAGTGTAAGTAGAGCTAGGATTTGGTATATTTTAATGTGTAGGTGAATTATGATCTATCTAAAATGTGCATGTTTTGATAAAACTCTTTGATTTTACAAATCCTCCTGTTACAGTAACTTCTTATATCTATGACTCCAAGGTATTTTTTTTCTTCAGGCATAATGAGTTATATCATTGATCACAAAGATGGGATGGATATAAATCAGTTGGTTTGAATTTGAGACTATGATAAATTTCTGATTAGTTAATTTCATGGACCCTATTGTCCATCAGAGCATCCTGTACTGAGAATAGTAGACAGGATCAGTGTAATTGATCAGGTTGATTTCTTTTTTGCTTCTCCTGAGCACCACCTAAAATCCATACCAGTATGGATTTAGCTATATACATATAGAGCAAAAACAAATAGAAATTTCCTTTATATGTGAATATTATATTAGATTTATTTTGAACTCTAAATACTTAGTAATTATGAAATACTGAAAGGGTAGGTAGGCTGGGTATAAGAAAATAGAATTGAGAGAGGAGAAATACTGACTTCTAAATGCTCTGAAGCAGCCCGTTGAGCAAGAATGGAATACTGGCATACATTCATTCATTTATTATTTTTATTTTTTATTTTCTACTTTTATTATTGAAGTGTAATTGACATACAATGTTATATTAGCTTCAGCTGTACAACAAATTGATTCAAAAGTTTTATGCATTGTGCAGTGCTCACCACATAAGTGTAGTTACCATACAATGCTCTTAGACTATTACTGACTATATTTTCTATGCTGTATTTCCATCTCTGTGGTTTATATAACTTATAACCAGAAATTTGTACTTCACCTCCCCTCCGACAACCATCAATCTGTTCTCTATATTTAAGAATCTGGTTTTTTGTTTGTCTTTTCTTTTGCTTTGTTTTTAGATTCCACATATAGATGAAACAATGTGGTACCATGCACTGTTTGTGGAAATATAAATTGGTACAGTCACTGTGAAAAACAGTATGGCAGTTCCTCAAAAAATTAAAAATAGCAATACAATATGATCCACTAATTCCACTACTGGATATTTACCCAATGAATACAAAAATGCTAATTGAAAAGATATATGCACCCCTATGTTTGCTACAGAATTATTTATAGTAGCCAAGATATGGAAGCAAGCTAAGTGTCCATTTACAGATGAAAGTACAAAGAAGATGCAACACACACACACACACACACACACACACACACACACACACACACGGACATTATATAGTTGTAAAAAAGGAGATCTTGCCATTTGCAGCAACATGAATGGACCTATACGGTATTATACTAAGTGAAATAAGTCAGACTGAGAAAGAGAAATACCAAATTATTTCACTCATATGTAGAATCTAAAAAGCAAAAGAAATGACAAAATAAATTAAAAAGAAGAATCAGACTTGTAAATACAGAGAACAAACTGATGGTTGTCAGAGGGAAGTGGGGAGGAGGTTGGGTGAAATGGGTGAGATACAGGCTTCCAGTTATAGAATGAGTAGATTATGAGAATGAAAGGAACAACATAGGGAATATAGTCCACAGTGTTGTTACAGTGTTTTTTGGTGACAGATGGTAGCTGGTGACACGTGGTAGGTGTAGCATAACAGATAGAGATGTTCAGACACCATATTGTACACCTGACACTAATGTGACATTGTGTGTCAACCTTATTCAAATGAAAAAACTTATTAAAAAAACCTATGCTCTGAAGACTGGCATTTGTTTTAATACGAGAAGGGAAACATATGAAGATGTAATTCATAGAGTTCATTTTTCCTGGTAGAAGGGCAACTCTGCTCTAGAGCGTGCCAGCTTCCCAACTACTCTCAAGTACTTAGGATGTGGATCGTATAGAACCAGAACTGGATTGTTGTATGACTCAAATGAAATTCTGAAGTGCCTGTATGGGGGGGGGGGACTACAATTTTTAGGGCAGTGCAATCAAGTAGCAGTTCGAGAACTTCCAAATTCCGTGGAGATTGTGTTCAACTCTGTCATTGTTTGAATGATGAACTTAAGATGGGAAAGATAAAACAATCCTCAAGTCAAATCCTATCACGTCCAATCTATCGTATTAATGATGTTGTGGTACAATTCAATGTAACAAACATGCATAAAACTTCTGCTGTATGCCTACCACCATACTAGCTTTTTTGGAGATGTGTGTTTGTGTGTATGTGTGTTTTAAGAAAAGTAAGAGGTAATTCTTTGTCCTTAAAAAAGAAATTTTATTCAGCAGAAGAAAATATACAGATACATGATGTGGAGAAGCTATATAGAGTTATTAAATCCATAATAAAACTAGAAAACAAGTATAAGGTAATATTAATATAGTATAGTACATATTATATACAATTGCTCACTGAATTCAATGTAATGGAACTATTATTATGGGGTATGGTTAGTGAGGGAACTTATAACAAATGGCAGGCCTGTGGGAAATGTTTAGGATTTAGCTTAATGAGGAGGGAAGGAGCTGGCATTTCAGAAATAGTAAATAACCTGACCAAATATACAGAAGATGAACCTAGAGGAGTTTATGTGAAGACATAGGAAGATTGGGCTTATTATTAAACAGTGACAATTGTAATAATAATTATTTTAAGAGCTACCACATGCTTTCTGTATATAAAATTTCTATATATAAAATATACAAAACAGTTAAAAATTAATTAGAAAAGATTATGTCAGGGGCACCTGGGTGGCTCAGTCTGTTGAGCATCCAACTTCGGCTCAGGTCATGATTTCATGGCTTGTGAGTTCAAGCCCCATGTTGGGTTCTGTGCTGATAGCTCAGAGCCTGGAGCCTATTTCGGATTCTGTGTTTGTCTCTTTCTCTCTGCC